TTTCTCAGAAGTAATGTTAGCAATTGTTGAATGTTTCAGCTCTCAAATACCACACGTGGAGACAAGGCGCTTATTCTGCTGGCTGTTGTGGCGTCGCTGGTACACGGCGCCTCCTGGCCACTCTTGTTTCTGATCTTTGGCAACATGACAAACAAGTTTGTCTTCTGTAAGTTGATGTTTTCCACCCAGACAAACAAGTTTGTCTTATGTAAGTTGATGTTTTCCACCCAGACAAACAAGTTTGTCTTATGTAAGTTGATGTTTTTCGACACAGACAAACAGGTTTCTCCTCTGTAAGGTGATGTTTTCCGCCCAGCAAACACGTTTGTCTTTCTTAAGTTTATGTTTTTCTACCCAAACAGGTTTGTTGTCTGTAAGGTGATGTTTTTTGCCCAGTCAAACAAGTTTGTCTTTCTGTAAATTGATGTTTTCTGCCCGGACAAACACGTTTGTCTTCTGTAAGTTGATGTTTTCCACCCAGAAAAACAAATTTGTCTTCTGTAAATTAATGTTTTTCGCCCAGACAGACACGTTTGTCCTCTGTAAACTTATGTTTTCCGCCTGGATAAACACGCTTGTCTTCTGTAAGTTGATGTTTTCCGCCCAGACAAACAAGTTTGTCTTCTGTAAGCGGATGTTTTCCGCCCAGGCAAACACGTTTGTCTTCTGTAAGGGGTTTGTTTTGTACCAAACAAGTTCGTCTTCTGTAAGTTGATTTTCATTTTTACATGGAAATAAAATTACAGAATAATCGTCATCATAGAGAAGGAAACTGACACTAGTGACCAGGCTTGTCCACAGCTCCACACCTTTAATAGAATCTATTCATTGTTGTGATATTTCGCTTGCTAGTCTGATTTTATGTCTAGAGCCTGCAGGATCTTGTGTTTCTCACTAGTCTCTAGAACTGTCGCTCTATCTAAATTAAGACCCGTGTCCACGCCTTAGGAGCGGAGATAACTTGTCTGTTTGTGAACCTGCCTGCTAAGATAATGGTCAGAGTGCAATCCCCATCTGAGGTCAGATGATCTGTTGCTACCAGTACAGTTCTGGGATCTACTTAGCCTCATGAATGTGTATGCTAGGAAATGTCTATGAAGGGTTAGAGTCCGGGTTATGTTTTGTTATGTGTAATTATGTGAGTTGTCGAACACACCAGAGAAGTACAGCGCTGGTTTCTGTTTTCCACAATCTGCACTCACTAGAGAGATGGAGTTAGATTCCCACTACAGGTGGAGTTAGATTCCCACTAAAGGTGGAGTTAGATTCTAACTAGAGGTTGAGTTAGATTCCCACTAAAGGTGGAGTAAGATTCTAACAAGAGGTGGAGTTAGATTCCCACCAGAGATGGAGTTAGATTCCCACTAAAGGTGGAGTTAGATTCTAACAAGAGGTGCAGTTAGATTCCCACTAAAGGTGGAGTTAGATTCCCACTAAAGGTGGAGTTAGATTCTAACTTATGGTGGGATTCCCACTAAAGGTGGAGTTAGATTCCCACTAAAGGTGAAGTTAGATTCCCACTAAAGGTGGAGTTAGATTCTAACTAGAGGTTAAGTTAGATTCCCACCAGAGGTGGAGTTAGATTCCCACTAAAGGTGGAGTTAGATTTTAACTAAAGGTGCAGTTAGATTCCCACTAAAGGTGCTGTTAGATTCCCACCAGAGGTAGAGTTAGATTCCCACCAGAGGTGGAGTTAGATTCCCACCAGAGGTGGAGTTAGATTCCCACGAGAGGTGGAGTTAGATTCCCACTAAAGGTGCAGTTAGATTCCCACTAAAGGTGGAGTTAGATTCCCACTAGAGGTGGAGTTAGATTCTAACTA